GCCTCTATACCCATTTTCGAGTAAAACCGTAGAAAGGCCCTAACTCGGTCGCTTACGCCCGGCACTGTAGACGGGTACCCGGATATTAAGGTCCCATTAGAGACACATCACAAGGTATCCCGATGATCGAGATAGCCGCGAGAGTGAAAATGTAAGGAACTATGAGGTCTCGACGGCAAACATTGACTTCGCCTCGATCGTACAGATCGTATCGTAAAGGCCTCCGGACGTCCCGAGCAATATAGATACGTCAAAGAAGCCAACTGGAAAGGTTCTCACAATGAAAGCAAGAATTGTCCGGCATTGAAAGTCAGCCGGGTTATTGACATTGAGGAAAGCAAATGGGATTCGATATAGCGTAGCGGCCCGATGTCTGGTCTCGGCAATGGAATAGGATTGCCATTACAACGCGTGCACGTACTCCGTATACGTACCAGAGAAACAGGGGAACGCGTACACACAGAGAGACAGTCAAAGCGATAGATTAAAAGATAGCAGGTCTACCGTACAGCGGAGACGAGCACTGGTGACTAACGTCGGCTGGGACAGGGCTTCATTTAAATATGGCGGAGAGAGCTCGTGGGGCGTCGCTCAGTCTACCGCGTTTCCTCGTAACGTCTCCTACCGTCGAGAGTTCGAGCCGCACGCCAAACCCAAGGCGCCTATAGCGTCGAGACACAGAAGCGGCACGACAATATCCCGTCTGCCCGTCTGCCCGTCGTCCCTGTCACTAGTAATTCCCTAGGGGTTACGTTGCGATCGCTCTAGTAAATAGTGCCGCGGACAGCCGCGACGTGGCGCATCGATCGCAGACGCGGTGGCCGTTTGACGAACTTGCACACTTATACGAAATCTGTACACACGATTGGTATATATAAACAAAAATAATTAATCACTGACCAAGGAAAGGGAAGTCGACGAGACTGCCCTCGGAGATTTATTCGTCACGATTATACCTATTGACACTGCGTATCGATCGGATTGGCTCACGCGAGCTGTTGGCGTGACGGCTCGAGGCGCCGTGTAAATAGCGGATAGCCAAATGCTGCTACGTAATCTCGACTATCCTGATGTTCACGGATCGACGCTACGCGCGCCGTAGATATGCAGATACGTGCCCAGGTTGCTCTGGGGTACGTGGGCTTCATGGCGAGAGCGATAACATTATCGCCGGTGGTCAGGGCCCGATAGGCTTATCTCGGAGAAGCACAATGAAGCTTAATGGAAAGGAACAGTGGGTGTCTGACTTTTTCTCGATTCACTAAAAAACAATACATTTTTATTCACAGCCATTTATTTTATCACGAAACAAATTCTAGGATCGATACGATGCAGAGCAGCGCGAATCACCGGATCACACGTGATACAATCGAGTGTCAACCGATGAACCTCGAAGAGACGAAAAACCAATAGACCTGGCAAGGAGCGCAAAGTGGGCAGAGAGTCCCGTCGGCGAGTGCTGAAAAACTTCGTTTACGTTTTATCGACCGATCGAAGATTGCTGGCGGGGATAGCGCGAAAGGAAATTTTCTTCTCGGTCCGCTCGAAAGCAGGAATTTCGCTTCAGCCTGTCGTAGCGAAATAAGCTCCCCTCGCAGTATCGTTATTCATGGTCCCAATAAGAAAAAAAAATATTCAATGCTTATTAAGAACAGACAAATATTTTTATTCACTCGAGCATTCATCGTCATCCTAAACCGAAGTTTGTCCCAGTTCGCCGCCGAGTACCTCCTGCCGCCCTTCTGTCGCCCCCGATACCAGAGAACGGATCGCACAAAGTCAACGAAGTAAACACTCGAGAGGCGCCGCAGCACTCGGGACTCATTGGCCCAAGAGCACGCAAGGGCGTCTCGATTGAAAGACACTAGGACGACGCGCCGAGCAAAGCAGAAACAAGACGAAACGTGTCTAACAGGGGGGTGGAGGGGCACAGCTCTTGCCACTGCCGTTTCGATTGTTATTGCGTAGTCGTCTACCCGTGGGAGAAATATATCATAGTCATGTTAAAATTGAAAATCTACATATCCACCCTCCTCCCTCTCGACCCCGCACGGATGCCTCGTTATCCGTGCGGTGCAGGCAGCTTTTCCGCGAGCCGATTCAGCGTAGCTGAACCGCGGCTAATCGTGAAAAGGGAGTGCCAGCGAGTACGGGGGATGAGAAACGAAGGGTGGAGAGAGAGAAAGAGCAGGTCATGGTAGAAAAGGTCGAAAAAAGAAAGGGCCCGAGCAACCCCATAGAGGTTTTTCATCCATATATAAAAAAAAAGGAACGAGGAATGCCACAATAAAGGGCTAAGGGGAGTTTTCCCTTATAATATAAATGTCTTAGATATATTTTCGTATATATATATATATATATATGGTGAATAGACGGGGGAAACTGGTATGCAGTATATCCAAAGAGTAAGAACCGAATGGACAGATCGACACAAAAGAGAAGCAGCTGTCCGAGTGACGTCACTACCTGTCTTACGGCTCCACATACCTCCCAAGGGCTATAGGTCAGCTTGGCGCAGCCATATAAGTCTTCGTTATTATCGCTCTGGGATTTAATAGTCACTGTTTCGTATATTCTAATTGTAACGGTGTATAAACTCGCGTGCGCTGTTGCCTGCTGCGCGGGCGTATTACACGGAGCCCATGAAGCACGTGCGGCTGTCGCAACGAAGTTACAGCCCTAACGAAGCGACCTTAACGCAAGGACCGCGCGGAACGAGAGGAACGCGGATTGTGACCGGTATAGTAGCTTCGTCGTGTTTCATGCCGTTACGTACGTGTATCTGCCACTGAAAAGCAAAGCAAGTTCGAACTAGTCGAAATGGAGTATAGATCGCAGGCAACCGATTCGGCAGGTATGAAGACGTAAGAGTTGGTTGTTCGAAACGAACATAACCTCTAATACCGTAGCGACGTTACAGAAGATAGATGACCGAAGGAGAATCAGTCATTTCGTGAGAAATGATAATAGACGCTAACGCGGGGATCTCGTGTGCCTGTCGGGTATAGATTTTTTTTAATATCTTCGACTAATTTTGACAAATTGCAGAGAAAGAGATTCCGAATTCGATGCTGTGACGTAATCGTAAGGTGGGTCAACCATGTTACTACGTGTTGTGTCGTGTAAATTTATCGATACGACAATTACGCGTGAGAGCGAAAGAATAAAAAAAAATGCAATAGACAAAAAAAATGCAATAGACAAAAAAACTGTGATCGGGGCCTGCCCCCCCCCCCCC